AAGTCATGGAGTTGGATGAGTGGGGATGTGGGGAGGGTCTGCAGGGAGGGAAAACTATGATCAAAATACATTGTATGAATTTTAAAAAAGGAATCTCTGCTTTGCATTCTAGCTATGGTGGTGCACATCTGTAATCCTAGGTGAGGGCAGGTGGATCAGTTCAAGGCCTGGCTCAGCTACACAATCAGTTGAAGGCCACCTTGGGGATTTCCCTTTCCTGTGTGTGTGATGTGAGTGTGGGGACATGTGTGGAGGTTAGAGAACAACTCTGTAGAGTCGGGTCTGGGGACAGGCTTGAAGGGCAAGTGCTTTACCCAGCGAGCCATCTTCCCAACCCTGCCAATGTCCTCCTAAGCTTCTGTCACTTTTTATACTACATCGCCTACATTCTTTTTTGTTCAATTCCGATCAATGAGACAAAATAAATCATGCTTGAGCCAAACATACAGAAGAAATGGGGACAGGGTGGGGCTTTAAGACACATGCCTATAATCCTAGACTTTGGGAGGCTGAGGAAGGATAGTGAGTTTAAGGTCAGTCTGGGATACACAATTCTTCTCAGTCTTAAAAAGACAAAAATTAATGTTAAAAGTCTGAAGCTCTTATGCTGGCTAGTTTTATGTCAACTTGACACAGTAGCGTTATTTGTGAAGAGGGGACCTCAACTATGAAATGCTCCACTAGATTGGCCTGTTACATTTTAGTGATTGATGTGGGAGATGCCACCCCTGGGCTGGTGGTCCCAGTGTAAGCAAGCAGGCTGAACACGCCGGTAGGCAGTGCTCCCACATAGCCTCTGCGTCAGCTCCTGCTTCCAAGTTCCTGCCTTGGGTCCTGCCCTGATGCCCCTGGACAGTGGACTGTAAACTGTGAGCTGAAATAAACCTTTTCCTCCCCAAGCTGCTTTTGGTCATGATGTCTATCACAACAGAAACACTAAGACAGCTCTATTTCATAAGCCAGAAGTTCACACAAAAGCTAGTGGATATTTGGTTTTTCTCACAGATCCTTAAGCTTTGGTAAGAACTGAAATCTGTTCTGGACTGTCTAATGAAGAAGGAGTTTTCTGTGAAATGGAAAGTCGAGTGTGATGCTGTAATACGTACCTGACTCTTACCACAGAGGTGGCAGTTCAGTTTCAGGGAGGAGTAAAACATTCATTTCAACTGTAGTTTAATTTATTGTTTTGTTTTTGTTTTTGGGGGACAGGATCTCACTTTGTAGCCCTGGCTGTCCTGGAATTGACTATGTAGATCAGGCTGGTCTCAAATTCACAGAGATCCACCTGCCTCTGCCTTCCCATTGTTGAGATTAAAGGGGTGACTACTATGTCCAGCCTAAACATTCATTTTTAAACAAAAGACTGTCTTAAAATTCACACACACACACTATATATATATATATATATATATATATATATATATATAAAACATTTACATAGATGAAAAAGAAACCAAATCCATAATCCAACAAATAAGAGAACAGTACACAACCTTGTATTTGGGTGGTTATGCTTTATTTTTATGAAATCTCTATTTTGATATATGTCATTAAAAATAACTGCTATTAAAGACATTTTATATTTTCCATGAACTTTAATATGCATCTATTAAATATTACAAAACTATTAAAATCATGATAGCAGAGACTGCTTAGCTGAAAATCCTAACCTCTCACACCCAAACACGCCATCCTAAGCTATGCCATTAGAACATAGGGCCTGAAGTGTGAGTTACCTTACAGATGACTAAAGTTGCTAACTGGCACAAAGCTATCTCATAATATCCTCATCAAAATTCACTCTGATGATCTGCGACATGTTTCAGAAGATTGCTTTGTGTAAAAGGTCAGAAATCACAAAACACAAGAACCACCAGGAAGGTTTTTTTCTTAAAAAAAAAAAAAAAAAAGTTACAACGTTTAAAGGACTTGATATCAAATTTCCCTGTTCAAACTGACTGAAGTGACTCCCATATTTTAAAGTATTTAAAACCCTTCCTTAAAAATCCCCAGGACAGTTTTCAGGTGCCCTCCACCCCAGTGTGGGTCAGGTGAAGAAAATCCTGGGAGAATTCACCACCAACCACAAGGGATTTCTGTGTACGACTTGGTCTTTACTTTTCTCCAGTGTTGGGGGGGAGGGTACTTCTGCAAATGTTCACCACTCAAATGTTGACACTGTAACAGTTTTAAAAAAAAATCAATGGAACTATACCACTCAACACCTTGGGAGATTGTGCGGACCCTCTGTGTTTATACATCCTCATAAAAACATGCAATGTCTATCTTAAATACTCTAGCATTTATGCTACAGACAGACATGGTTTAAAAAAAAACAAGAGCCGGGCGGTGGTGGCGCATGCCTTTAATCCCAGCATTCAGGAGGCAGAGGCAGGAGGATCTCTGTGAGTTCGAGACTAGCCTGGTCTACAAAGTGAGTTCCAGGACAGGCTCCAAAGCTACACAGAGGGACCCTGTCTCAAAAACAACAACAACAACAAAAATTCCTGTGTAGTTCATTCAATAAGGAGAATTTATTAAGACTAAAAATCAGTTCAAAAATTTTGAGGAAAGCTAAATATTAGCTACACTCATAGAACACCTAGCAACTTACTAGTTAACAGTACAAGTTGAACACACCTAACCTCAAGTCCAAAATTCTCCAAAATCCAAACCTTTTTGAGTGGCATGACCCAGGTGGATAACTGCACAACTGGCCTCTGTGAACAGGTCAGTCAAATGTCAGGCACACTAAAAACACTGAACAGACAGACTTTCCCCCAAGCTGTGTGTACACGGTACGTGCATATGAAACCTAAAGGAATTTAATAGCTCTATTTGGGTTCCACCCCCAAGCATGCTCTCTCTCCACACACACACACACACACACACACACACACACACACACGCACGCACGCACGCGCGCGCACACACACACACACACACACACACACACACACACACACACACACACGCACACACACACACGCCCCCAGGTGACAGCTGAGGAAAAGGCTTCAGCACATGGTTAAGTGATGCAAGACTGTAAACCACTGGAAGACACCACCACTTCCAAACAACAAAAACCCAATCAGGCCCACTGAGAGACGACTGTCAGAAACTAAGTCAAGATTTTTAAAATCTTCTCATTTTAAAAAGCTTAACCTTTTCGGGAGATGGATCAGGTTTGTGTATTTTAGAAAAGTAACACCAGCTATCCCTTTTCTACTCTGGGTGTCACAAGAAAGCTTCCATCACAGGATGAATACTTGTGATCAGAAGCCACTAGAAAGTGTCTGAACCTGGGTGATTCCAAGGAAGTAGGTAGTCAATCCAAAAGTTAGCAACAATGCTAGATATAGAAAGTTTAACCACTTCACTCAGACACTGACTTCAGATACAGAATCTAGTGCAAAAGCATGAATTATAGACTCTATTAAGTGATTAAAGTCTCATCAAATTCACACCCGGAGAAAATGTGATGTCATTCTTAAAAAAAAAAAAAAAACCCACAACACTCCACATTTAAGTCTCATCAGCTTTCTAGAAGCAAGCATTCACCTCTTGAGAACAAAGAGCTAAAGCTGTGCACCATGGCACACCCCTCCGTCCAGCTACGCAGGCTGGGCTAGAGTTTGAGGGCAGACTAGTCAAAGCAGCAGCAAGGCCCTATGCAAGACACCAGCAACCTCCACGGGAAACAAGTAGAAAGAAAAACAGCGCCGTCCCTTCCTTACCTAAAAGTGACATTGTCTATACATGAGTACAATTTAATTTTACTTTAAAAAGGTAAACCAAGCACAGAACACAGACATGAATAACAGCTGTGACGGTGTGCAGAGGATGGGATGTATCAGTAACAACCGCTGTTGTGGAATTTTGTCAAGGTCTTAGGAGGTGAAACCAATGTCCTGTCCTGGGCTGGGGACGCAGCTCAGTGCTAGAGATCTGCTCTTGCATGTGTGAAGCCCTGGTCTCAGCATCCAGCACTGCAAAAACCAAAACCAAACCAACCAGAGAATACCTGTTCCTCAGGATGTGAGAAACTCATAAACCTGTTACTGAGGAGAAGAACTCCATCAACATAACCCACATCTCTGACGGTCTTAGTCCTTGACTGCAGCTTTCAAGGACACCCCTCTTTCTATAAAATGATACCAAATGTGTGGACTCAGCTGTGACTATCCAGACAGAGGTGTCATGGAGGAGCGTGATCTCACTGCTGCTCTGAGAGACAGAAGGGTGGTGTGCAGAGGAAGTCTGAGGACTTACTGGATGAGGGAAGCAGCACTAGGCTTCTGTTTAGCAGGACAGAGCTGACAGCGAACAGTACAGGTCACCACGTCAGGGAGCCCCATCCACACACTCAAGTGTCTTCAATACAGGCCTGAAGTTTTACCCAGAACATCTGACAGGACGGAAACCTGACACTGTCCGATGGAGTGGGCTGGCAGGCTTTTCTGTGAAAGGCCAGACGGTAAATACTCCATGTTTGATGGTGGTGCGTTTTTTTTTTTTTTTTTTTTTTTTGTTTTTTTTTTTTGGTTTTTCGAGACAGGGTTTCTCTGTGTAGCTTTGCGCCTTTCCTGGAACTCACTTGGTAGTCCAGGCTGGCCTCGAACTCACAGAGATCCGCCTGGCTCTGCCTCCCGAGTGCTGGGATTAAAGGCGTGCGCCACCACCGCCCGGCTGGTGGTGCGTTTTTTAACCTCTAAAAATGCAAAAGGTACTCTTAGTATACTGGCCGCACAAAAGCAAGCGGACACCAGGCCCAGATCGAGTCAGGGTAGAGCAGAGAGCAGTTCTCGGGTACTGACCCTCAACACGACACATCAAACGGGAACTAGAGGCTGGAAGGAGTTCCGGAGGTCAACCTTCCAAGTGAAAGCTGGGAAAGTGACTTGCTTCCTCTACAGAAGCCAAATGCACCTGGCCGCCTCCTTCTGCTTCCATTTCTGGAGGACTCGACTGACAATAAAGAACACTAGTGCCCAAGAGTGTGTTTTACAGCCTTTCACACTCTTTAATCGTGGGCAAGAAGTTCACACTAGCGGCAGTGGTGCATGCGCATGCGTACAACCCCAGCACTTGAGAGGCAGCAGCCACAGCAGGAAGAAAGGGAAGATGGGAGCAGACGGAAAACTCGTCCCAAAGTCAGCCACCAAAAAGAAACTCAAGCCCAAGTAAGAATCATGAGAAACTGGTCATTGATGTGACTCTCCCCCGTTTCCAGGATTATTACTGACATAACCAAAGGGTTTCCAATGTCCAGGTGAAATCCTGGGTTTCTCGTAATATGGACTCGTTTTTGTAGTTCTGTAAGCGCTCTGGTGACACAAAGGCACAAAGTGAGCTGAGAAGGCAACAGACGAACTCCAGAGAAAAGGCTAGAAAATTCACTAAGTCCCTGCACGAGGATACAGAGACCTCACTAAGTCCCTGCACGAGGATACAGAGACCTCACTAAGTCCCTGCACGAGGATACAGAGACCTCACTAAGTCCCTGCACGAGGATACAGAGACCTCACTAAGTCCCTGCACGAGGAAACAGAGACCTCACTAAGTCCCTGCACGAGGATACAGAGACCTCACTAAGTCCCTGCACGAGGATACAGAGACCTCACTAAGTCCCTGCACGAGGATACAGAGACCTCACTAAGTCCCTGCACGAGGATACAGAGGCCTCACTAAGTCCCTGCACGAGGATACAGAGGCCGCCTTCCCAGGCTGATTTCACTATGGGCCAGCAGGGCTGGGGGAGGGGGCGATTCTGTGGGGCAGCGGGCTGCCGGGTGGTGGGAACCAGTGCAGGACACTGGAGGACAGAGCACACCAGCCGGTATTCCTCTCCCAACTCTTGTAACAACATCCTGGGCTACCACACAACAGCCCACCCCACTAGAAAACCAAACCCTGTCTTTCCGTCACTTTTCCTGGTACTGACCGCGGCTCCTCGGCCGCTTCTTGGAGTAATTACATGTAAAAAAAGGACACTCTCTTAAAAAAAATGTTACAAGTAAAGCTAATTTTTTTTTTTTTTTTTTTTTTTGGTTTTTCGAGACAGGGTTTCTCTGTGTAGCTTTGCGCCTTTCCTGGAACTCGCTTTGGAGACCAGGCTGGCCTCGAACTCACAGAGATCCGCCTGGCTCTGCCTCCCGAGTACTGGGATTAAAGGCGTGCGCCACCACCGCCCGGCTAATTTTTTGTACTGGAGATTCTAGGTGTGTTCTACAAGCTATGCTTAAGTGTTTCTCTAGACCAAGACAGATACAGTTAGACTTAAAACGAACTCCCCTAACTTTAAACTGCTGAGAAGACATTCACTACTCTGAACCACAGAGTTCATGAGTGTTAAGTTTTGAAACCTGTGGAACTTATAAAACCATACAAAAGATACATTCACAAAACATTACCTTACCATGGTACAGAATCACATATCATCTAGCTTAAGAAATGGCATCATAGAGAAACCCTGTCTCGAAAAACCAAAAAAAAAAAAGAAATGGCATCACATACCAACGCCTGAAATATCACAAACTCCATTAGTGTCTTGGCTATATCCTGCCCTCACCTACCAAGAGTAAAAATCAAGCATGCTCTCTTGCATTGAAAAAATGTTAGAGATCAAAAACAAGCAAACTCAATGCTTCCTGAGCAGTCCCTAAGTCCTCCTTCTAGGCGGGTGTATTTAAAAGCTGTTCTTCTTGAAGCTTCGATTTAAACTCCCCTCTGATTCTTTCCAGCAACTCAGGCTTAAAGATGACATCCAGCGCAGTCATTGCCAGAGCTTTGGCTGTACGCAAAGTGTACAACTGAGCTTCTTGTGATCCTAAAGGTAAAGAAAGCAAATTAAAATACCTCTATATGTGTTAAAATGCAGCACTTATTAATCCCCAAGCTACCTCTCAGTGTCTACACAGCCTCTCCTACTCCTGATCACAATACAGTACGTGCTGAAGCCACGTCAGAGAAGGGCAGGCTAAGGAGCAGCAGGAGAGAACCCTGAGCACCCAAGCCTCACGCTCACCTGCGGCCTCTGTGTACTGTTCCGTGTGATTCAAGGCGTCAGTCCCAATGTAAAAATACGGGTGGATCCCAGGAACCACAAAACTGACATTTCCAAAATCAGTAGAGCCTTAGAATACAAAAAGGAGGAAAAGGATGTTTGGTTAAACGCTCTGAATGATGAAGTTATAGAACCCCGTACTGGGTCAAGGCCCTGAGGCCTGTTAGGACAGGGAGAGCTGTCTGCTGGTGCTCATGCTCACTCCCACCTCCACCATGGCATTCCAAGCCACAAAGCCTGGCCTGCTGGTGCTCCTCTGTGAACTCTGAGGACTCCTCCTGTCTCGGGCTGCAGACCCCTCCTCTGACTGTGAAAGGCTGGCGGCTTGAGACTTGATGCAGTCCTTTTCTCTGCTCACACCATCTGCTCAGATTTGTCTCTATTTACTGTTTCAAATGAGCAAATCAAAATGCATTCTGGTTCTCCTCCAACCTCTCGCTTACAGGTCTTCCTATCCACCCGATAGTTCGTCCATGGATGTCTTAAAGTAGATCCCACCCAACACAGCTAGGATCAAATTCATTATCATCATGGTCTACTACATACCACCTACGGACACCACCTCCCAATCGCCCAGAATCATGCTTCTTCATCACCAATACCTGCTTCTGCCTAAGGCAGTCAGGAACAGTCTCCAGCAGAATCTACTCCCTTTGCCAGGATTTCCCAATCTTAACATAATCTGCTCCACTCCCCTCTCTAGCCTCATCTCACACCAACAGTCCCACACATCTTTCACACCTCTGGACCTCCACCACGCTCCACTGACCACAGGACTTCTGCAGAGTGCTCTTTTGTTTTTAAATTTCCCCTTTCTTTCTTTCTTTCTTTCTTTCTTTCTTTCTTTCTTTCTTTCTTTCTTTCTTTCTTTCTTTCTTTTCTTTCTTTCTTTCTTTCTTTCTTTCTTTCTTTCTGTCTCTCTCTCCCTCCCTCCCCCCCTCTCTCTCCCTCCCTCCCTCCCTCTCTCTCTTTCTCTCTTCCTTGAGACAAGGTATCATGTGGCCTTGGATGGCCTCAAACTCAGTATGTAGTAGCTAAGGATGACCTTGAACCTCTGATCCTCCTGCCTCTCTCTCCCAAGCACCGGAATTACACCAGATGCCACTCCACTTGGTTTATACAATGCTGGGGTTAGAACCCGGGCTTCACGCATGCTAGGCAAGCACTCTACCAAGTGAGCTATATGCCTGGTCCTGCTATTACTACATCATCTACCATTCCCTGAGCAATCCTATCTCACTCCCCTGGTAAGGTCAGTTTCTCTAGTGGAGGCTCTCACAGCGTGTACAATAATAACAATATCACTTCTCAGGTTTAGCTTACTACTTATTGGGTCATTTGGCTAATGTCTCTTACTAAGACATTAGTTAAGAATAGTATTTTATTTATTTATTTATTTTTTTGTTTTTCGAGGCAGGGTTTCTCTGTGTAGTTTTGGTGCCCATCCTGGATCTCGCTCTGTAGACCAGGCTGGCCTCGAACTCACAGAGATCCACTGGGCTCTGCCTCCCAAGTGCTGGGATTAAAGGCGTGTGCCACTGCCGCTTGGCCAAGGATAGTATTTTAAATTGCCACACATCCAGTTGGTCACATGACAGATGCTAACATTTGTTGAATAAATCATAATAAAAGTAAAGCTTTATGCTAATTCAATGAATATTTACTGAATGTTTACTGACAGGTTAAACACTATGCAAGGCAGTTAGACTACAGATGCTAACATTTGTTGAAAAAATCATAATAAAAGTAAAGCTTTATGCTAATTCAATGAATATTTACTGAATGTTTACTGACAGGTTTAAACACTGTGCAAGGCAGTTAGACTACACAAGGGTAAATGTAAGGAAAGGAAATCAAAACACACAGCCAACAGCAACATTTACTTTGTTTAAATTACTTCGTTTAAAAAAAACCTAAGGATTTCATATATATTCTCACATTATTAAATTTTACATTTTGTTCCTCTTTTGGTTAAGACAGGATCTTGATATGCAGCACTGGATAACCTTGAACTTGTGATCCTCCTGCCTCAACTTCCTGAGTACTGGGATTATAGTTATGTACACTACACCCAGGTTTCTCATTTATATTTGAACAGTTCTCATTTTATAAAGGAAGAAAGCAAGTCTTACAGACACTGGTAAAGGCAGATGGAGGTTAGGATTTGGGGCGATGTAAATACACTGTTTCTATAATATACACTGAGCACTCTGTGGAGTGCAGTATATTGGTAAGTGGTCTTGGCTGACTGAGCTTACTGAGAAGCTGGCTCCAGAAGCACAGTTACCCCCCATCCCATTTCAGAACCCAGTATGTTTGTCTCGGTGTCCTCCAAGGTTCCTGTCTGAGGATGTGCTGACTCTTTCCTAACTCTGACAGCAAAGCAGCCCAAAGGTAAGGATGCTATATCCTTGAGCACAGCTAGGAGGTCAGCCATTCCCAAGAGATGTATTGTTTATCCCATGATCTAAATAAACACTGCAGTAGGAAAGAGAAACAGGAAGTTCAGCCACAGGAAGTTCAGCTGTGGAGAGAAAGCTTAATTGGGAACTCCAGTGACTGCCTCAACTTCTGGAGTAAGCTTCTGCTAGGGGTCTTGAGCACAGATTTGATGGCATTATCTATTTGTCTTTCATTTGGAAGCTATGAGAGAGTCTATATATCTCGTCTATGTAGCTCCTATCCTACATCCCCAGTGGTGACATCTTACAAAACTACAACCCTGTACCACAACCAGAATAGTAACACCAATGGAGTCCCTGACGTGGGGCACATAACTTGAAGAAGGCTGGCCGAGAGCATTCATGAAGCCCTGGGTCTGACCCCCAGCAATGCATAAAGCATACATGGGGGCCCATGCCTATAACCCCAACACTCAGGAGGTAGGGGCAGGAATGCTCAGTTCAAGGTCACCCTCAGCTACATAACAAGTTCAAGAGCAGCTGGGTTACATAAGACCCTGTCTCAAAATACATGCGTTTGAGTGTGTATACGTGAGTGTGTGTGTACATGGAAAGATAGGTATACATATATCTCACTGATTTAACTCAGAACACCCCAACTTTACCTAAATCCATGGAAAGCCTCACAATCTGCAGAGACCAGATAATCTGTTTCACTGCATTTTTAGTTCATGTGCTGCAGAAGCCAGCATCCAATTCTTTAACCCTGCAGCTTTCCACCACAATCACTGTGCCAACCATTTCCTAGAGAGGGGGTTCTGAATGCTTCCTGAACTTTGCTGCATCTATTTATCTCAAGTTTTCTCATAAAAATCTTTTCTTTCCTGTTTGCATCCGCTCTTTGTTTTCAGTTAAAGCTAACTTTCTTCATCTCTTCTTCCTCTTCCTCCTTTTCTGAGGCAGAATCTCAGTACGTAGCCTTGGCTGTCCTGGAACTCCCTCTGTAACCCAGGCTGGCCTCGAACTCACAGAGATCTGCCTGGCTCTGCCTCCCGAGTGCTGGGATTAAAGGTGTGCATTACCACCGCCCGGCCCCAATAATAATTTCCTAACTGATGGTTCAATGAGCACTATACTTACTCAGCGTCTATAGCACCTGACATTAATCTCACTGTCCTCGCTTCCATGACTTCCCCATCCATCCCGATTATCTGGCTTTCTCTCACTACTATTTCCTAGATTTGCCCATCTCCTCCTAAACGTTGGTTTCAGTGTTTTATCTCTGTCTTCTCTATGTATTTGGATAACTGTATTAACATCCCTGTCTTCTCCGTTCACCTCCCACATACCAGCAGACCCTAAGCCTCCAGCCTAGACACTTCTAGGGGCTCCAGACTCAAACCCAGGCTACTCAACAGCTCTACGTAGAAATCCTACTCTAGCCCATATGATTCCAGAAGTGCTCATGCTAGTGAATGACCATGACACCCATTTTTACCAAGTCTTCATGGCTCTACATCATCAACATCTCATTATACTCAGGAGATACAGCTCATCTTTCAAGCGTTATTAGTAGTTTGCTTAAACGAGGAAAGAACCTAAAATAACACCAAAGAAGGGCCAGTAGGATGGCTCAGTGGTAACAGCACTTGTTGACCTGACTTTTGATCCCTGGAACCCACAGAGCGAGGAAAGAGAGAACATTCTGCAAAGTTATTCCCAGACCTCCACACACAGGCTGTGGCATGCACAACCACACACATACATCATGCACTCACATACACATAATAATAAATAAAACTCTGAAAATAGGGGATGAAGAGATGGCTAAGTGCATAAGATGGCTTGCTGCTCTTGCAGAAGACCTGGGATTTAATTCCCAGCAGTCACATAGCAGCTCACAATTACCTGTAACTCTAGTTTCAGGGGAGCTGATGACCTCTTCTGACCTCCAAGGGCTCCTGAATGCACATAGTACACATCCATACATTCACACACACAGCACTCTAATAAGCTAGGTGTGGTGGCACATACCTGTAATCCTAGAAATCAAGAACCTCAAGCAAGAGGCCAGCCTAGACAACATTCAGCAAGACCTGGTTTTGTGTGTCAACCTAACATAAGCTAGAGTCATCAGAGAGGAAGGAGCCACAGTTAAGGAGGATCTTATACCTCCATAAGATCCAGCTGGATGGCATTTTCTCAGTTAATCATTAATGGGAGGAGGGCCAAGCCCACTGTGGGTGGTGCTATCCCTGGGCTGGTAGTCCTGGGTTCTATTTGAAGCAAGTCAGTAAGCCGTACCCCTCCATGGCCTCTGCATCAGCTCCTGCCTCCAGAATTCTTCTCTGTTTGAGTTCCTGTCCTGACTTTCTTCAGGGATGAACAGTGATGCAGTGGAAGTGCAAGCTGAATTAACACTTGTGGTGGTTTGAAAGAAAATGGCCCCCAAAGGGAGTGGCACTATGTGGCCTTGTTGGAGGAAGTGTGTCACTCTGAGGTCTCTTTTGCTCAAGCTTCCCTCAGTGTGATAGTTAGTTGACTTCTTGTTGCCTGCAAGATGTAGAACTCTCAGCTATTCCTCCAGCACCATGTCTGCCTGCATAAAGCCATGATCCCCACCAAACAGCTCAAACAGCTCAGTTACCTGAAGGCCCATTCACCATTGCATCTTCTGAGATGAATTCTATTCCCAGCTTCTTCCCATTCTCCATATACGCACTGCACAGTGTCTTATTGGGAAGAACATTGTAATAATCGTGTGCTTCACTTTTAATTTCTACCTAATAAAAAATGACAAAACAAAGCTCGAGATTAAAAACTTAAATTCACTAAGTGCAAAACAGTGATGGTTTCTACCAGGAAAAGTTTTAGGATAGGCACTATAAACCCTCACAAATCTCTTACCTTACAAAAAAAAAAGGTGCATTATAAAGTTAAGTTCCTAACACCCCATTTGCTCTGTTACACAAGCACCACACCAGAGTGTCACTAAACTCCATGCTGGCCAGCAAGAATCAACCTCAGTCACCTAAAAAGGGTATAGAGAGTGCCCAGAAACTTCTATTTTAAAACCTGATGCAGGTAGTCCAAACCACTCTGATGCACACTGCTTTAGACTTCATCTCCAAAAGGAAAAAGCAATGCATCTATATAAATCAGCACACTGAACACAGAACCATCCCTGGTATCACAGCCTCATTTCAAAGGGATCCCCAGAGAATATAGACACTGTATTGAGGCAGGTTCAGGAAGGGCCTTGCTTATAGATGTGAGTACATGAAGACAGAGAAGCAGTTTCTATGTGACTGCATAAGCAGTCATAGACTTCAGAGTTTTTGTTTTCAATAAGCAAAAGCTAATAATCAAACAGCAGAGATCAATTTTTTCTATTCTTGGCAACATCTAAGGTAGGAATAACGGCAACACAATTAAATCTTATAAATCAGCCAAAATATAAATTAGTAAAAGGCTACTTAAATATAGATTTAAATCCAACAATAAACCCTGTTTGCTGTGTGCATATATGTGCATGTGCAGGACAAAAGGGCAAGCTTGGGTGATTCATCAGGAGCCTCCTCTCTCTGGGTTTTGAGATAGGGCTTCTCTTTCCTTTTGCCTGGAGCTCACCAAGCAAGTGAGGCTGGCTGGCTAGTGAGGCACAGGAATCTGCCTACCTCTGCCTCCCCAGAGCTGGGGTTACAAGTGCACTACACCACACCTGCCTTTTAAAAGTAGGTTCTGGAGTTCAAACTCAGGTCCTCACCTTGCAAAGCAAGTGTTTTGCTGAGTGAGCCATCTCTCCAGCCCCTAAGCCCTAGCTTAGGAAATACCCTGAGATATTCGCTAATGATAGTTCATGTATCTAACTTAAAAATATTTAAATTATTTATAGTTAGAAGGGAACAAATGTTTAGTTTCCCTGGGTTGTGGAAGCTTTACAGTTGTACACTAAATCTCTTTGCAAATGGCCTAAGAGGACATGTCCTTATTCCTACACTTATCCATGCATTTTATCTATTCACAAAAACAGTATGAGAGTTTATACATTCTCATCTTTCCAATCACATTCCCTACCTGAGATCTCTCTGGTGCTCATATATCTGGAAGTATGATTATCCTTCAAAGCTCAATTAGGTCTGCAGTCTTCCAGGAAACCTTCTCCCATTCCACCAACTGGGAACTGAACCCAGGGTCTTGGGTCTGCCAGGCTAACCTGACACTTTCTTAACTGCTCTGTTCCTCCCAACACTGTCCATTCTACTAAGACAAAAAGCACACCTTGAGGACAAGGGCAGAGACACTACCACCACAGGAACAAACCATGCACTGCCACACCAAGGACAGAAGACAGGAAGGACAGGCGTGACCTCTTCACAGATGTGATTTCATCTGTCTCTCCCAAGAAACCTGGAGAGATTCATTATTACCCCTATTTGATAGAGAAACAGCCCCAGAGACACTGCTTCTCATGGCCAAGAGATACAAGAGTCTTGGCTCTCTCTAAAATCAACATCTAAAATCTTGTCTCTCCAACCAGACTGCTGCATTTGACCTTCATGTAGCTGTAAACCTCATCCCAGGCTGCAGCACACATGGCTGACACCGAACTGTTTCTGACTTTACAGTTCTAGTTGACAAAATCTCCTCTGTGCCGAGTCCATCTTAACTCCCATTCCAGCAAGCTATACACACATTTGATTCACATCTTTGCCGAAGAGACAGACAGATATTGTCATCAAAGGCCCTTTATGGGAGCTACACAAAGCGATGTAAAAGGCAGGGATTCCAGCACAGTGGCATGCTAAGTACTCTAGCTATTGTCTAAGTAAGAGGACCAGTGTTTTCTACTGCAGACATTGAAGAAAAAGTACAAGAATTAAAGATTAGTTAAATATTAAATTTTCATCAAAAGATTTCAAATAGAAAATTTAGCCAACTCATTTTACAGATTCAAGACATCCCCAGTGAGGGCAAGGCCCTGAGACAGATCCCCAGCACCACCACCGGCACAAACAAAAATCACCACAAGAAAAAAGAGAACGAAGGCAGGCTTACTGCAGCAACACAAACAGCCACAGCCCACATGTAACTGGTCATGATTAAAAACGGGTCATAATTAACTCCGAAAAGCTCTTACTGTGCAGCCTGTAGCCAAAGCTGCAGCTCTGAAGGAATCTTCTGCCTTTTTGGTCAAAACTTGAAGCTCTTTCATTGAGGGTGCACGGAAGTAATAGATTAATTCAGAGTAAGAGGGGATGATATTGGGTTTTACACCACCGTTTTTTATTATACCTATAAAAAGAACCAAATTACTGAAGTTAAATTTGATGATTTGTTTAAAGAAAGTTTTGTAGCCAGTACAAAAAGGAAAATAATTAGCTTCACTGATGAACTGATAAAGATTTTTGACATGCTGTACAACACTTCCACAAAGAGACACTATTTCCCAGCTAATCAGGGAAAATTGTCTATATGTACTTTATTCTAAGGCATCTATTTAATGTTAAGGAATTAAATTTGAGATGAAGGTAAAGTTCAACAACAGAGCACTTGCCCAGCATGTGTGAGAGTCTGGGTTTAATTCCCAGAACTGGAAAGAAAGAAAAAAACAAGGAGGTGAAGAGGGAAAGATTATAATCTAAATTATAAAGAAATACAGAATTATGTAGCTACAAAACAAACAGTAGTATTAAACTTTCTGGAGGAAATTTATCTTGGTAGGCTTTATTACAGTTGTGCAATTTGATAAACTTTGACACTTTTTTACAATGGCATGAGGCTCTGTAACTACCATCTTATTTGAAAAACCCTACAAATATTTTAAATGACATTTAGCAGTGGAGAAATAATTTTCATACCAATTAGAGACTACTACAATCGCTTCTTAGCCTTTTGGCTACAATCATGTATACAAACAAAAGCCGAACAAAGACCCCTAAAAACTACAAACTATCAAAACACACATTTGTTTGGGACCACACAAAATAAAGATTTATTTGTTTCTACCAATAACTAAAATAGATACATAGAATCTAATTCCAGTCAGTTGTGCAACTCTATAATCCCAGCACTTGAGGAGGAGGCAGGAAGCTCATGAATTCAAAGTAATCCTGGGCTATAGTCTGGGCTACGGGAGCTCATCTTAAAGACAGACAGACAGACAGACAGATAGATAGAGATAGATAGATAAAAAACGAATTCCTCATCGTCTAATTTAAAATTTTTCCACTCTAATCCCTTTTGAGGAAATTAAGGCAAGCAGCAAGATGGGTTAGGCCTGTATGCTGGATGCTGGCACAAAAGGACTGCTTGAATTTAAGGGCAGCCTGGACTACACAGTGAGAGCCTATCTCAAACCAACGGCTACCCACACCAGAGAAGAAAATTAAGACAAGAAACTCACAAAAGCACAATTATAAAATGATTTTAGCATATAGCAAAATTGAGTAAAACATAGATATTAAAGCACAATTTCCTAGATCATAAAGAAATAAACTGAGGAAGAAAGGGAGGGAGGGAAAGAAAATTATAAGTCAGTGTGGTGGCTCACGCCTGTAATCCCAGCCTGGGAAGGAGGAAGTGTGTACCCCTAAGAGAAGACCGTGCTACTATATTTATACACACAGAATTTTAAGAGTGTACTATACTAGTCCCTGAGTAAATAAAACTAGTAACCGCCACTTTTTTTTGAGAAAGGCTCTCATTTATCCTAGGTTGCCCTCATATTTACATGTGGCTGAGGATGATCATGAACTTGTGATTCTAAGTACTAGAACTATAGGTATGCGACACACACCAGGTTTTATGCAGTGCTGGGAACCCAGTGCCCAGTGCATCCCAGGCAATTATTCTACTAACTGAACTACATCCCCAACCCCCAATTTTCCTTGTTATTGCTTGGGTTTTGTTTCTAAACAGGGTTTCTCTGTGTAGCACTAGCTGTCCTGGAATTCACTCTGTAGTGAGTGACTACTTTGAACTCACAGAGATCCTCCTGCCTCTGCCTCCAAGTGCTGGGATTAAAGGCATGCGCCACCACTGCCTGGCTTCCAACCAATTAAAAAAAACAAACAAACTAATATTAAATAATTTTACTGCACTGACATATAATAAGTACCATTTACTATACAAATATTTGGCATGTATACCATGAAGTCTCCAGGTTGGTTTCATCTGTTGTCTTAACGCAGAGAGATTGTTATAGGCGAGAACTGCAGCGTCTAAGGCATTCACTCCCTCCCAAGGGTAAGCAGCGGCATGAGACGCCTTTCCATAGTATTTCACAGTAACACTAGGAAATAAAAAAAGAAACCACTAGAAATGACCTCTTCCATTATCACTAAAATAAGAAAATCCAATTAGCTGTGAGTGTGTGTGTGTGTGTGTGTGTGTGTGTGTGTGTGTGTGTGTATGTACATGTGAATGCATAGCTGAGAAGGGGTGGGTGTGTGTGTGTGTGTGTGTGTGTGTGTGTGTGTGTGTGTGTGTGTGTAGTATGGGTGTCAACAAAGACAAAGATGTAGCTCAGCTGACAGAATGCTTGCCTAGCATGTCTGCAGCCCGGGGCTCAATCTCTGGCACCCCATAAAACCAGGTATAGTGGCATAAACCTGTAATCCCAGAACTGGGAGGCAAGAGGATCAGAAGTTCAACGTCATCCTCAGTTATATAGCAAATCGGAAGCTAGCCTAGGCTATATGAAACGGCTTAAATCAACAACGATGACAAAAAGCAAAGCTGGGCCGGGAACACAGCTCAGAGGGCAGAGTGCTTACCTAGGCTCAGTCCTTGCCCAGCACCACACAAACAAGACATGGAGGTACACACCTGCAAGGCCAGCACTGGGGTGTAGTGGCTGAGACCCTCGGGAGTGGTAACAGAACTGTCCCCTGCACTTCACGGTGCTAGCACCACGCTCAGGTCATTTGACTTTTTAACTGGACAAATGCAGAGTTGTAGTGTCTGGCTTAGTTTCCCTTTCTTTTTTAAATTATGTCTGTGTGTGATGGGGGAGTGGGGTGTGCATGCAATGGGACACCTGCAGAGACCAAAGGACAACCCTGCTCTGCTTTGATGTGGGCTCTGGAGATAGAACTTGGGTCGCCACGCTTCAGTGACAAGTGCTTTTACCCACTAAGCCACGTCACTGCCCTAGTTCTGAGTACTCTTCAGTCTGCTGTCCACCAAGAAATTATGTTCGATGTGATGACTTACTCACGCTCGGCCACATCCAGCAGATAGGCGGCATCCTCTTGAGACGGATGAGCCATGAAAACAGCATCAAGGTCTTTAAAGGCCCCTGCTTTGATTAAGTCGATCTTGCCACCGCCGTCTTCTTCTGCAGGGGTTCCCAGGACAACGACCTACAAGGAGACACATATGTTAGCACAAAGAGACTAACAGGAAAACATTAACTAGGTTTGAGTGCATATGCACTCAGAACATATACTTAAGTCCTTAAACCCTGAAGAAGTTCTGTTCTGACACTTATACAGGGAATAAAAATACACGGTGCAGAATCACAACATTTAATTTGTATTGCTATAGTAATCTGGTATAAATGCGTGCTAGAAATGCTAAAGGAAAAGTTCTCCAATTAGAACTCGATTTTAACTAAGGTATAACAAACACCAAAAAAAAGGAATTCTATGAACTTAAGTTCTTCAACATTTGCTAGGACTTATCTGTTAAAGTCTCTTCAAGCTGAGCCTGTTAGCAAACTTTGTACATAGTTAGTCATAGCTTTACGGCTAAGGAGCTTGCACGTGACCTGTGACCCTCACAACTACCCTGTGAGGTAGGTGAGTGGTCTGCACCAGTTCAGGCCGGCTTAGACTCCCAGGGTTACAGAGCACGTGTTCAGAGCTGCAGTCATCTCAGCTAGCTGTCCTGGCTTTCAGCTTAGGACTCTTACAAAGAAACCACTTAAAAGGTCCTCCTCACTCATTAACCCTTCATTGAGGAGCGTTAAACAATCTCAGTACCATGGTTAGAAACCGCCAACTATTACACAAACTTACTAATTCGATTCCACCAGTTCAACCAGGAAGATTTAATGGTCACCAAACACCTAATCAAACAAAAGAGAACTTTACAGAATAAACATTTTACTTTGATATTTATGCTTAACTTCTTCAAGCAATTTTTTAAAGCAAAGACAAATTATCTGCAAAAAATTAATGTATTCTTAAGGTCATGTATAAAAATACAATGAAACAAGCTGGGGTTAAAAAAAAAAGGCTTTGCTTGCAAAGGGAATCCACTCAGATTCCATTTTCTCATGAGAGAACCTTGCTGAGAACAACCATTTCAAGTTGGCATATTTCTCAAAGTCTGGCTGTGTTTATTTTTTAATTCATAAAGCATCCAAACTCTTAAATTGAGCTGCTTTGGGGGGGGGGCGCTTGAGAAAAGGTTTCTCTATATAATCCCGACTGTCCTGGAGCTCATAATGTAGACCAGGCTGATCGCCAAATCACAGGGATCTGCCTGGCGTGCACCACCACGTCTAGCCACTGAGCTGTTCCCTATTCTGAATCTAACGGGGCTCTTGCCAACTGCTGAGAACTTTTTTCTAAGTCTGTCCAGGGTCTCACACCCTCCCCAAACAAAACAAAAACCCAGAGGCATAAAAGAGAGGTAGCCAGAGAGAAAGGGCCACAAGAGATGAACTGTTGTAGAGGATAATGCCACTGGGGGGGGGGGGGGGGGAGTTGGGGGGTGGTGACCGGGCTGAGTGACAGATGGTTCCTGGCTCACAGAATGAAGAATTACACCATCTGAAAGAGTGGAGTAACACAAGACAGACACGCACGGCATTCTGCTTCCAGAATCAAGACGCCTCTTGTAATTGTGAAATAAAGATTAACACTTAAATATGAACCCATCTACGTAGTAAATGTTTATTCGCTTCTCCGTTATTTCTACTCTTGCAAAAGTTGGGTAGTCTGGTAGTTCTAAAGATTGAAATTTACTATGCAAATACCACTTACTCAAAAATCTTTTTTTTTTTTTTTTTTTGTCTACAAACTTGACTTCCAGGGATCGCACAACCTAGTCAGCAAACTGCAGCTGCCTGGTACTCCGGGCTGGGTCCGCACGGCCGACAAACACCGCGGCGGCCCGGCGTGGCTCACCTTGACCGGCGGCGGCGCAGCGACGCCCTCCAGCGCCGCCCGCAGGCCCAGCGCCGCCGCCACCCCGACCTCGGCTATGAGGTTGTGGCCGCAGGCGTGGCCCAGGGCGGGCAGCGCGTCGTACTCGCACAGGAAGCCCAGCTGCAGCGCGCCGGGCCCCGCGGCCGCCCCTGGCGGCGCCCACTCAGCACGGAAGGCGGTGGGGAGCCCGAAGTGCGGCTGCACGGCCCAGGAGGCGGCCGGAGGCTCGCGCTCCAAGAAGCGTGTGAGCTCCCGGTGCGCGCCGTGCTCCTCGTAGGCCAGCTCGGGCGCGCTCCAGATGGCGCGGCTCAGCGCGCCCAGGCGCTCGGCCGCCTCGTCGATGCGCTCCGCCGCGCGCTGCTTCAGCAGCTCCAGCTCCGCCGCGCTGCTGCTCGTGCCCGGCTCGGCCGGCCGCTCCACCACCGGACCCATGGCGCGGGCGGACTACGCTCTACCCTGGTCAGCCCTCGGCCGGACTCGTCAGCGCTCGGCGGCCCTCGGAAACGCTCGGCTGTCCTTGTTCAGGCCTCGGAAACGCTCGGTCGTCCTTGTCGGGCCTCGGCAACGCTCGGAGGCCCTCGGTGGCGCTCTGTGGCTTCCATAGCCCTGTATGATGTAACTAACCCCTCCGGCCCGGAGTTGCCGTGCATGCAGCTCCACCTCCAGCCCCGGAGTGGAGCTGGGACGTCAGCTTCTCCTAAGAAAAGAAATTGTACTTAAGTTTTATCTGAAATTTTGATTGACGGTAAGCCCAAGTAACATGATTTGCACAGCTCGTGAGCATATCACAGAGGGTCTAAGTTACCTGATGAAGAAATTCAAGAAGTCGTGCACTCGTTTTTTTCCAGAGTGATACGAAGTTCAAAAAAATTATTGTTGTTGATACGCCTAATAATTGGTGATCCAAGGTTTTCTAGTATTAAAAGCTTCAGCCGGTCCTTCCCATTCTACCATCTCTTAATTTGCACAACTAGATCAAATAAGATACAATATATTTTTAAAAACCAATAATGTAGAAAAAAATGTGCCTCTGAAAATGAGTCTGAAGGAGTCTGTTGAGGTGGCTCAGGAATTTAATCCTAGCACTAGGAAGGCAGAGGCAGACAAGTTTCTGAGTTCGAGGCCAGCTTGGTCTACAGAGTGAGTTCCAGGACAGCTGGGGCTACACAGAGTAAACTCTGTCTTGAAAAGAAAGGAAGAGAGTGACTAGTTTTTACTAGTTTATATCCTAACAGTGCCAGAATCCATGTCACATTCTAATGTGAAAACCATCCTTAATTAACACCCTAACTAAAACTCAGATCTAAACATAATAAATGTGATATTAAATTCCTGGATGGCCTCACTTTTCTCTTTTTTAAAACTTTTTTTTATTTTAATTTTATTTCATGTGTATGAGCATTTTGCCTAAATGTATACATGTGTACCGTGTGTGTGTGTGTGTGTGTGTGTGTGTGTGTGTGTGTGTGTGTGTGTGTGGTGTGTCTGGGGAGGTCAGACGAAGGCATCAGATCTCCTGGAACTGTAGTTACACAGTAGTGAGCCACCATGTGGGTGCTAGGAACTGAACCCGGGTCTTCTGGCATGAACAATACACACTCTAATCGGCTGAACCGTTTCTCCAGCCCCACCCTCATTATTCTTAATAAACTTTACTCTGATACACATCTTATAGAAATCCTCCAGCATCTGTGAGACTGGAGATTAATTTGCTCAGTGAGTTGGCTAAAAGCCAGAACAATGTTAAGATAAGAGCATTTACTCTGTGCTCTTCTGGGTGTTTTAAATGTTAATACGTAGTCCTCATCCCAACCTATCAGGTTATTAACGTGACCATTTATCTTCAATTTACAGATGAGTATCCGAGATTACACAGCCTTCTAAATACTGGGCACAGTATTATACAGAGGACAATGTTTAGTCACTGTACTTGATTGCTTGTGTAAACAGACATCTGCATTCATAAATGCATCTACTCACATCATAATGAGAAGAATCATCTTGAATAAATTTTACGGCAGCAACTCTGCCAATAGCACTGGAAATCTTTCTTGTTCTCTTTAGGCAATGCTAAACAGCTACAAACAGGCTTGTATATAAATTTTAAACACAAGCTGTTATTTAGGTTGCCTGCGACAAATTAACAGTGTTGTCATCTGAAGTGGTGGAAAGACAGGTAATTCTGGGCTCTATTCCTCCTGAGTATGTGTGCACACACATATACATATGTATTCAGTTTCTACTTTTGGCATGGATTTCTTCTTCATGGTCATTTGCATTCTTCAATCTCTTTAATAAATTATGATGATTTGTTGAATGTGTGTCTTCTCTTCAGTCTTCATACTCTTTTCTTGTTTCATTTTCTAGTTCCCAACATCCTGTATCATATATCTCTTGTCATTGGTTTGATAAGAATGGTCTCCATAGGCTCCTTATTTTAATGTTTAGTCATCAGGGAGTGGTACTACTTGAGAGGGATTAGTTGTGGAGTGGTGATATTTTATTTGCATTTATTTAATCCATGGCAAATTCAGTTCATCCTTTCCTGACATTGTAGAAGAAACCCCTTCCCAGAGCAATTAAATAACCAAAGCCTATTTAAAAAAACATACTGCTCAGGGGATAGAACAGCGAGAACAGAAAACTCAGGAGAAACCATAAAGCAAATTTTTTGGCAAACTTCTATAAAAGAACAAAGACCAAAATTAAAAATATGAATAAATGACATTCTCATTGGGGGTCTTGTAGACACAGGTGCAGATATAACAATAATTGCACCAGAATCTTGGCATCCAACTTGGCCTCTTCAGGATAATGTTCAGCTGTTAGGGATTAGAACATTATCACAAGTGAAACAGAGCACAAGATGGGTCAAATGTATAGGGCCAGAAGGACAGAGAAGAAAAAGCCATATGTGGCTAATAAAGCTATGAATTTTTGGGGCCATGATTTATTACAACAATGGAATATTCAGATTAACATTCCTTCAACCTGAGAAACAAACCATAAACTAAGACATGTTTCTGAGAAAAATATTAGAAGATATTATAAAGAACAGTCACCGGTCATCCAGATTTTACAAGAACAGGGCACAACAGCTGTTGATCTTTCAAGACACCAACAGCTCTACCTTTAAAATGGTTAACAGACAAGCCTGTATTGGTTCAGCAATGGCCTTTAACAACAGAGAAACTACAGGTTTTAGTGTAGGGAAACTGAAGGAACTAGAAGAGAGGAAGCTGTGGGCTTTGGCTTTGGTTTATACGGTGGAGGCTCATTAGCTGGATCAAAAGACATTATTTCATCCTGTTCTGACTTCATAGCTAGCAATAGCTGGGTGGGAGAACAGGAGGCACAGAGAGAAGGCTTGGAACAAAGGTAAGAGAAGGCTTTTACATATAGGGTCTCTTTCCATTTCCCCAGTCACTCACAATAGTTGTAAAGGTCACGTATAATATTGGAATCTAGTGTGCCATTATGTGGCCATTTAGATCGATTATCTAAAGGATAATGACTACATGGGAGTCAGGCAACACCTTGAGCTGCTTAGGACAGCTTGATGGCTGAACTGCAAGGAGACAGTTCAGCCCTGGAAGGCGAGGTACCTGCTCGAGCTGCTGGAGCTGCTCAGAACAACAGCTCTGCCCTGAAGGTGTCCCGGACACCTGGAGTTATTTAGCACAGTTCTGATGGCTGTAAAGAAGCAGCCCAACCCTGGAAGGGAAATTTTTCTGACTTCTCAGGAAAGTCAGGCCTGGAACTGCTTCAGCAGGGAAGGGTATCCTGACTCTTCAGGAAAGTCAAGGTATACCTGGTGTGATGGGAGATGGTCTCCCCACAGGATATAGCAATCCTGCTCCTCTCCTGGGGAGCTGTTACAGCTGAGCTTTGCTCAGCCCCCTCTTAAGGGGACTTCCTAGCAGAGCTCTGCTTCTCTGGCCTAATATGTTGCTTCTTTTACTTCACTCTGAAAAAGGGGAAACCCCTGCAGAAATGTAGCAATCTCCTCCTGCTCCAGAGAAAAGTATTACTTTTCAGCTCTTGTTTTGTCACTGAGGGACATCTCAGCAAGGATCTTCTCTACCTCTCCCAGGACTTGACAATTAACCCAAATTTTTTTCTTTTCAGGATCCCCTTAAGATGCCGTTGCCCCTAGACAGCAGGAAGTAATATTAAAAATATGATGCCCACATTCCCAAGAGGTGGGGTGGGTGGTTTTTGGTCATTCAATGGGTTATAGATAATTGTCATTATTTAGAATGGTTGCTTACAAGTTGTTAATTGTTAATGGTTGGGGAAAAAAGCTAAACAAAGGAAATTAGAATTGGGGTTCTTGAAAAAAAAGAAAAGAAAAAAGAAAAAAAAGAGAATATAGATAAGAGGTAGATTAATGAAACTACTCTGAAAAAAAAAAGATACAGAAATCATAGGATAAAGGGTAGATTTTTGAATCTACACTGAAAAGAAAAAAAGGGGGGATATAGATATGATAAGATAAAAGGTAGATTATTGAATCTACTTTTAGAAAGCAACTACTAGTTTTAATATTTTACATTGGATTGGATTTTTGTTTATTGTATACAAATTGTATGTATTGATACAAATTTGAGATTGATTTTGTTAGAAAATACTGTACATATATTCCTAATCTTGTTCAAGGTATTATACCTATACAGTTCATTTAACAATGTAATGCAATTTTCTAGTCCTTGAAAGTTATTATTACGAACTAATTAGGAAATAAGAAATGTAAGTTAATAGTTAGTCATTACAATCAAACTTATAGTCATATTAGGTATGTTTTCAAGGTTAAACTGAAATATATTTTAGATAGGTCATCTTCAAATACTTCAGAGATTTACAGAATATGGCATTTAAGATGTCTTAATAACAGATTTTTTTCTTTTTTTAATGACTATGAGACATGTCTGCTCCTGGCATCACCAATCTACTTTAGAGAACATGATGGGCATTGAAGAAACTCCATATGGAGTTTACTTTCATTGTGGCAAAAGTTATCCACTGGGCAAGAAAGTGCCCTCGCATGAACTGCTGACAGTATGCTGTCCAAAATGGACAAGTAGGACAGGATTGCCAATCCTTGCCAAGACAAAGTAAGAAAACTCTTTAGAAAATTCTGCTTCACAGATGAGTCTGTCAGATATGCTAGGCCTGTAGGCCAAAGACGGATGCCCCAACATTGCAGAGAAACCTCGGGTGACTGTCCAGGCAGCCAGCTGTTTCTGTCATTTCTCATATTTTTTGGAAATCGCTTGTTTGTACTTCCTGTTTTACTAGGTAATATTATTTCCTTCTCTGGTCTCTGAGGGAGTTGAAGATTAGATAGTTACAGTTTTCCTTGTTAAGAAGTTCAGAAAGGAAACTCACTAAGAGGTGTAAATTGTATAAGTCTGAAAGACATCATAAGACAGTTTTGGGTTGGTAATACAGGTTAGGACAAAGTGAATTAGGTACAACTTGGACTCACCAAAGTAGGATAGAGTAATATTTTTGCTGAATTTGTCAAATGCAAATGGACAAGACATTGTTGATGTATTTATTACCTATATATATATATAGTATATAATTATTGTACTTATTATATATTGTTTTTCTTATATTAGTTATAATTTTTTTTGTTAGACAAAAAAGGAGAAATGTGGTAATATTTTATTTGTGCTCTAATAAATAAAACTTACATGAAGATCAGAGGAAAAAGCCATTCACTATATTAAACATAGAAATCAGGCAGTGGTAGCACACACTCTTAATTCTAGCATTTGAGAGGCAGAGATTTATCCAGATCTCTGTGAGTTCAGGGCCACACTGGGAACAGAGATAAGTGTGGTGTTACACATCTTTATTCTCAGTGATACTCAACCATAGAGGTCTGGAGGTCTGTACAGACAGACAGGAAGTGATAGAGGAAAGCAGAAAGAGAGTGATGTAGCTGGGTGGAGAGAAGAACTGAGGTGGCAGGGACAGACAGGATATAGGCATGAGTACACAGGAAGTAGCCCTCTTTGGAGGCTGAGGAGTTGGTGAGGTGAGGTTGGCTGTGGCTTGTCTTATTCCTCTGATCTCTCAGTTTTCACCTCAATATTTGGCTCCAGGTTTTTTTGTTTGTTTGTTTTTTTTAATAAGACCTTTTAAGATTCATCTTACTTTGTGGCCTTGTTGCAGTATGTGTGGCATTTTGAAGGAAGTGTGTCACTG